CAACCTGGTGACACTGAGCATGATCTTGCTTAGAATGTGTCTATGATTTTGCTGATATCACAACACAATGGAACTTGAGATAATTTAGATAAAGGGTTTTAAAGAGCTGTGGTAAGAGAAAAAGAGTCTTCTATTTTTTAGAAAATTGCATTATATATTGCACTCCGAGGAGTGTGATTGAATTGTTTAAGGTAAGCAGTCAATCAACAAACACTTGAGGCTTTTTATGTTTTCATGTGCCCAGACCTTGACTAGAAAATGTGGAGATGCACAGTGAGTTTACCAGATGGTCCCTGCTGTTAAAGATTTGGATTTAATGCTGCCAGATGGTAAGGAGTCTTATTGCCGTAACAAGAGAAACCTCAAGTTAGGATTTGAATGGCCAGTAGATTTAAGAATGTTTGGTTAGTAGTGGTGAGTTGCTGCTAAGTCAACAGATATTGGACAAGAGAACTGGTTAAAACTATAGCCAAGAGGATATAATTCAGTTCAAATTTCTGTGCTCTCCTGACATCAGATAGTCAAGGCTGTAACATTTAACTCTTGATTTCTTGCATGTATTTTGTTGTCTTTGAGGATTTGAGGGGATCAATTTCTACATCTCAGATGGATTTCCCTGTTATCTAACCTAATTCTGCTGTGTAATATGTTAGCATAAAAAAATATGAATGTCAAATAAAACAACAGCATAAACAGGTAAACAGTACTAGGGAGGGAGATAAGAGGACTGAGTTCTAGTCCCAAGAATTCCATTGATAAATTTGGAAAAATCACCTCATTCTACCTCAGTTTCCTTACCTCTAAAATGGTGGTTTGCGAGGAGATACAATCAAAGGGCTTTTGCAACTCACAAATTCTATGATTCTGTGGATCATCTGAAATGAACTCAGTATTAGTGATGAGCTGGCCACTTGGACTGTTATGGCCTTTTAAAAATTGTGTCTAAAATAACAATTCAGTGACTAATTCTAGATTCTCTTTAGACTTTTACCAAGCACTTCATGAGATGCCAAAACAGTTATCTTTCTGTGTCTCTTTTCCCTATGAATTCAAGCAGCCATATTACTTCTTACCTGAACCCAATTTTCATATCAGAAATCATGGTCTCATTCAGCACAAGTATTTCCAGATCATTTGATAAAATCATTGAAATAGTATATATTTTACTTTCTCTACTAATCTACTCTTAACATACACATTAACCAATTACATATTTCAGATAGTGTTCTTCAGATGTTAAAAAATACCTTGTGTGTGTGGAATACATTGATAATCCTTTCTAAATTGTTATACATCCTGAACAGTAGTTAGATTTTTATTCCAAACAGGACTTACTGCAGCAAATGGACAATGCATTTTTCTAGTTTTAGCCTGATGTGTTTAAATTTATGAACATACTACATTTGAAATATTACTCTTCTTAGGTTGCATTTTGACATCATATTGATACAAGGGACCTGGTAAGATGTTCTTTATTTTTTGGCTGCTACCTAAAGGGTATATAGTTGTGTGTGTTTTTCCTTTCTCCATTTTTTTTTTGTCGGTGTTTAATAAAACCTAAAAATCACATAAATCTTCTAAAAGCCTGAGAAGATCGTTGTGTGAATAGAAGCCCCAACAACGCGCCTAAGTCATTTCAGGTGTAATCAATTACAGATAAAGTCTCCTCTGTGTCCCTTAAGAACCTGACTCAGCAGCCTGCTCAGGACTGGAACGGTATGTTGCCTAGGGAGGGCACATGCGTGAATTCAGCTATAAAAGTAGTATTACCCCACCTCTATTTTAGTAAATCAACATCTGTAAGGTGAAAGGCAAGGCTTTGTGAAACAAATCAATGCTTCCTTAATTTTTCCAAAGGCAAAAATGCTTAACGTTTATGAGAAATTAGAGAAAGCCTCTTTCCCCCAGATCTGGTCAGTTCCAGCTCCCAGGAGGCTGGGAGTTACTCCTGACAAGCAGTGTGCACCAACTCTGGTTTAGGTTCCCATCATGCTGAGTCAGCTCCAGGAAACTTGGATTTTTGCCCCTCAGATAAAATTATTTAATAATTTCATGAACCCAAGCACTGATGTCACTATAGCCACTATTTGAGGCTGTGGGAGCAATGATAATGGAAAGAGCCTTGTCTGTCATTTACTCGCTGACCAAGGCTGAGCAGATCTCCCTGCACGATTGTAGAGAGAGCATTATAGGATCCTATGAGCACATCAAGCATCTACACTAATAAAAGAGAAAGATCTACACTAATAAAAGAGAAAGACCCAAATGAATGTACCTTCACGATGCCCCACAGCCAATCAGGAGTGAGTATGCAAATTAACCCAACAAAGATGGCGGTTAATTTGCATATGTAGGCACCAAGCAGCTGGGGGCGAGGTGGCCACTTGGCACTGGCGTCCTCGGGAGCCAGGCTGCCCTGAGCCTGTAGGCCCGCGCATAGGCCTAGAGCAACCGGGATCCTGGAACATCCCCGGCCACTCCGGGCCTACGCGCGCAGATGCCAAGTGGCTGGGGTCGGGGCGGGAACATCCCCGGGACCCAGGTGCTTTGAGCCGGTATGCACATCCCCCGCAGCGAGCGAGCAGACAGCAGGGACCTGATTGCCCCTGGCTGTGGCAGCATAGGGCAAGCAGTCCCCCGCAGGGCCCCCACAGAAAGCAGACACCAGGGCCTGCGGTGGCATCAGGCAGCCAGGTCCGCAGAGAGCAGAGAACCACAGGGAGCAGGCCTAAGCCATCAGTAGGACATCCCCTGAGGGTTCCCAGATTGGAGAGGGTGCAGGTCGGGCTGAGGGACACCCCCCCACCCACGTGCATGAATTTCGTGCACTGGGCCCCTAGTATTTATTATAAACTGTCAAGCTCTTTACACATTTGAAGTGTTAGCATGCTAATCCCTCCAGTCAGATTACTCTATCTTTCATTGTTGACAACAGACAAATTTCCCAAGCAGGAAAGAAGACAAGGAAAACCTCTGTCTTGACCCTCAGAGACACGTTGATTTAGTCATCCTACGAGGGCCCCAGAGGGTAGCCACAGGTGTGCTGCTCATACCTCTGTAGCCAACACACAAGCATTTGTGTTGGTCCCTGGAATCCAAATCCTGATAACCTGGAAAGTTAGGCTTATAACCACTCGATATCAACTTGAAATTTCAAACCATTTCAGCCCCATACAGGTAGGAAAGACTCTTTTTCTCACTGACTCTTGGTTGAACCAGTACATATTTTTATAATCTGTCAGGAATCATTCATTTGTAACCGCCATGTACCTGACTATGTTGCTAGTTACCATAAAAAATAGTCATAAAATGTCGTGCCCAGCATTGCTATTCTTTTTTTGGGGGGCGGGGAGGGGAGCAGGGGGAGAGTTATGTGTGCAGACAATCAAGAGACCAAAGGGTTAATCAGAAAAGAAATAATTTTCACATAAAGCGATCTTTCTTCCCTTTTTTTTATTGTAAGTTCAGAGAGAATTGTAGCAATACAGGTTAAGCAATTTTCTTTTTTATGACTCCCGTGCTCAATTTATGAAAGCCATTTTGCAACCCATTTACATGCAGTCCACCTTGACTTTAAGGTTCTGTCATTTACCTTGATCATGATTATTTATAGTCTTTAGAAAAGGCCTTTCACTGGTGTAGTTCTCAAGCACAGCATAGCCAGGAGGCAGTTTTCTGCAGTGCCTTTGAAGTCCTGGTGGGAACCGAAGGCGCGGCCAGTCTCGTAGGCAGGTCTGAGACATGGGGCTAGGCAGCTGAGGCACGGGGCTGCTGTGTAATGCGGAAGAAAACTAGCTGGAATTAGGAGTCCTGGGTTCAAAACCCACTCCACATCCTCGCTATGTAATCCTGGCCATTTATGCTCCTTTACTGCCAGCGTGCTCACTTGCAGAAAGGGAACGATACATTCCTCACAAGACTAAGAAGTAGAGCTTGACTGTGGTGCTCTATGTGCAAATCGTAGTGTAAGTTATAATGAGGGAAATGGTTCTGCGAACCAATTATCTGTAATAGTCACTGAAAAAGGAACAGTATGTCTAGTCTAAAATCTTTCCTGACCACATACTATATTCTCCTTACTGTAAGCCACCTAAGAATGAACGCCGAGAGCAGGGACCTTTACCTGACACATATAGCGGGTACTCAATCAAGTATTTGTTGTATTAATAAATAAATAAAATTTCTAGATAAAAGTCCCTGTGCTAGGTATGGTCTAGAATACAAGACCATAGTGTATCATCTGAAGTCTCGGAGAGCTTATAGTTTATTTAAGATGGCTAGCCTTAAACGCACAAAAAGCCAATATGAGTTAGTTGTGGTTCCAGACAAGAGAAGAAGGAATGGTATAAAAACTGAGTCCCTCACCAGATCAATACAGCAGGAATCTTCCCTCGTCCTCATACGGGTGAGCTTATCTTCCTCCAGCCTCACTCCCCGCCCCCTCACCCTCCTCCCCACGCATTCTTTATATCAGTCATGGTTCTGGAGTTACTAGATGAGCACTTGGAAGGTTTTCACTGAAATGCGTATAATGAAGGGGATTAAGGAGATGAGTGCAGAGTTGTGGGAACCAACAAGAGATGGCAAGGCACCCAGAGACAAGGGGCAGTGGGAAGCGGGAAGCATTACCACCCCTAGAAATGAAGGGCGAGGTGGAGGGCAGGCAGGGAATGTGGTGCAGCCCGATGAAAGCCGGAGGAGCTCAGCACAAGAATCCTGTCCACACACAAGTCCAGGTGGAGCCGGAGGGGTATGGGGGGGTGGGGGTGTCTAATTTCTTGGGAAACGATCCGGTCAAGGTCAGCAGTCCTCAGTAAGGGTTGTATTCATTTGGTCCAGAACTTTTGTGTGGGTGGAGATTCTGTGAGGGCCTGAGGGAAGAAATAAATGAATCAGTGCAGAAGGCTGTCTCTGACACTGGGATTTGTCACTCCCTGCCTTTGCAAGTAGCACAGTCAAAGAGTGTGAAATGGCTAATGTCTTCCTTGACTCCTTGGAACTTACCACGCCCAGCCTTCGCAAGGTACGGAGCAGGAGAAAATGGATTATGCCCTCAACAACAAGAGGCGAGTCGTCCGCCTGGTTTTGCAGTGGGCCGCCGTGTACGGGGACCTCCTACAAGAGGACGAAGTGGCTATGGCTTTCCTGGAGGTATGTGGGGAAGGGGGGACTCTCTTCCCAGGATACACCTCTGTCCTACAATATACAGACTACCCATAGGCAAGGCAGCTTCCCTGGAGGGACTATAATCACAAGTTCTAAACTTTTTTAACATGTTTGTTTATCAGAAAGGTACTACAATAAAAGTAAAGAAAATGATCATCCATTATCCCACCACTCTAATTCAATAACTGGTAGCATTTTAAAAATATTTTTAATTGATTTTAGAGAGAGAGGAAAGAAGAGGGAGAGAGATGGAAACATCAGTAAGAGAAATATCGATGGGCTGCCTCCTGCACCAGGAATGGAACCAACGACCTCCTGGTACATGGGATGATACTCAAGCAACTGAGCCACACCAGCCAGGGCAATAATTGGTAGCATTTTAATATATTTTTAATAGTTTCTTTTTCTTTGTATATTTTGCATGGTTGTAAGCACAGAGTGCCCATCAAAATGATGGCTGCTTTTTTCACTTAACTTCATGTATGGATTTTCCCACGGCGCAGTCTTTCTAATGACCTTTGAGTAGCTCTGCCACAGATATATTTATTTGTTCCCATATTGTTGAATATTTACATCATTTCCATTTTCACCTTCCTAGAATAATAGTGTAGTGAACATTTTTATGCATGTAGGTCTGTTCTTGGTTACATTCCTAGACACGGGATTACTAGATCAAATGGAAGATTTTCTAGTGGAGGGAAGCAGATAATTTTATTGAGGAACTAGAGGCCCAGTGCACAAAATTTGTGCACTGGGGGCAGGGATCCCTCAGCCCAGCCTCTGCCCTCTCACAGTCTGGGAGCCCTGGGGGGATGTCTGACTACTGTGGAGGTGGGAGAGGCTCCCGCCACTGCCGCTGCGCTCACCAGCCGTGAGCCCAGCGCAGGGCTTCTGGCTGAGCGGTGCTCCCCCTGTGGGAGCGCACTGACCACCAGGGGGCAGCTCCTGCGTTGAGCGTCTCCACCCTGTTGGTCAGTGTACATCATAGCAACCGGTCGGTCCGCCATTCAGTAGATATGCATATTAGCCTTTTATTATATAGGATTCCTGGGACCTTGAGGTGGCTTGGAAGAGACATGATTTATCTTGTAAACACTGCCTTGAAGCTGAACTTCCCTTTTCTTTCCCAGGGCTCCTGGCCCACATTCAGCTTTGACCCTGGCTGGCATTTACTCCTCGATGACTCACTCTGTCCTCAAAGCCTAGATAAGGGCCTCGCTTCTGTGCAGGCAAAACACAATGTGGCTTCTATTTCAAACTTTATCAGTCTGTCTGTTCAAGAATGAATTATCCAAAAGAAACATACCCCTTATCTTCCTTTTGATCATATCATTTGTCAGGCCGAGACAGGTGAGACAGGAGGAGGGGTGGACCTCAGAGTCCTTTAAAGCTGGGAAATGAAGTGTTTTGAAAATGTAAAGGAATAATAGTAGCTTGGCATCATGACTTGACTTGCGGCCTCTACCCATGGAGTAAAGGCCCACGTGGCGGTTAAGCTGGCCCAGCCCCAGCTCCCATCTTCTGCTGTGGAGGCCACTGCTCCTGAGCAAAGCGGGCACAGCTGCTTCTGCCGCCGCTGCTTGGGGGTCAGGACCGTTCCCAGCACCTCAGCAAAGAGACCTGAGGTGGTGGCACAAACTCAACGTAAACTTAGCACAGTGCTGAAGGCCCTGCCTGCATTTTTACCACCGACAATTAACTACAACTAGTGGTGAATATTAAATAAACCAACAAATACTAAGATAATATCAAAATCAATATTAAAATTCCCCTGAAAAAATATTGAGGAGAAAGACTATAAAATTACTCATGTCAAAGCATTGCATTGCATTGCCTTTCATAGAAACAATCCATTTGCAATTAATTCTTTGTGGTAAAATATAGCCAACATAAAATTTGCCATTGTAACCATCTTTAAGTGTATAATTCAGTGGCATTAATGACATGCACAGTGTTCTACAACTGCCACCTCTATTTCCAAATTTTTTTCCCACTTGAAATTTTGACTTCCGGCTTATTTTAACTTTCCTTTTTTTGTCTCGGGCCCATGAAACCCTGATCTGGAGATGCTAGTGAAGCAGGTGACACAGGGACACGTCTTCATTGCTCTTTACAGAACTGCGTGCCTTATCGATTCTTGTTAAAAGCCTGTGACCTTTGCCAATTACAGGAGTTTTATGTGTCTGTGTCAGATGATGCCCGGATGATCACCGCCCTCAAGGAGCAGCTGCCCGAGCTGGAGAGGATTGTCAAGCAAATGTAAGGAAGGGCTTGGCTTTGGGGTGTGCTTCCATCACGGCAGTGCCTGCTCACAATCAAAACATCGGCCACAAAGTCCTTTGCCCCCACAAGGCGAAGGCTGGTTATTCAATGGCCATGCAGTGTCCTGATTTGAGCAGACTGGGCCTCGGGTGTGGGTGCTGCGATGAGGCCAGAGGGATCAAGGCACTGAGATGCTGCTCTGCTGCCTCCTAGGCTGGGAAGCTGCCACGAGGAAGCCCGGGAAGGAAACGATCCTTCTTTGGGGCGTCTAACTCAGTAAACTTGGGTCCCTGTGGTTGAGAGCAGCGAATGCAGTCATAAAATGCTCAGAGGCATCGAAAGGAAGTTTGAGGGGAAAATTCACTTTCTACTGCCAGAACTGTTGATATTTGTGTCCTCTCAGTGAAAACATAGGTTTTCATATGCTGTTCCTGAGCCACGGAGTAAATATTGCAGAGTTTATGCTGCTAGGTAGACTTTGAGAGCTAGACACCCGGGCTTTTCACATCAGTTCCGCTAGGGATCTGCCTGTTGCAAGCGCTGATCTCTTTGCTGGGTCCTCCCGGCTTTGGTCTCTTCATTTTTAGATGAGGAGGCTCAGATCGCCTCCTGAAGGGATGCTGTGATTTCATTTTCTAGCATAAGATTAAAGTCATAGACAAGTGAAGCAACTTCAAATAATAGTGCCAACGGCATTAAATAATGTGCTCTCTCTGTTTCTCGTAGTTCAGAAGATGCAAAGAACCCACAAAAGAAGGTAAGTGGCGATGGATTAGGATTCTCTAATTGTCTGTGCCCTGTGAAATGACAGTTCTCCAGACATGTTATATTGCAACGCATAAAAGTGATGTTTTCATCAATGCAAACTATGTTTTCTTCATTTCTGGACTCTGACTGCTTCTCAGGTGCGTTTCCTTTGAGTTGCAAATGTGCAGCAGTCGCTCTCCCTTTAAGGCAGTTACTGATGTTCTTTTTGCAGCACAAAGTTCTTTTGCAACATTTCAACACAAGCGATGAGAGAGCCCAGAAGCGCCAGCCTATCCGTGGCTCTGACGAAGGTGAGATTCTCTCCCAACTCAGGATTGTTTAGATTATTTGAATGAAATCTTCCCCTGGGAATCGTCACCGTGGACCTGTGGAATAGCTTTTCTCGGAGTGCCCCTTTGCACTTCAAATGGTTTGCTTGGGGTGCCTTTTTGCATTCTGATTATTTATGTTCTTGAACGCTGTGCCCGGAGCTGAGGTGCTCAGCCACACTTCCTGACTCTGCCTCTCTCGCTGCCACCTGTCCTGAGAGGGAAGAAAGCTCATCTCAGGGCCCAGGTGTCAAGGTTGCCCACCTCTGGGAAGAGCCAGCAGGAAAGTAGGTGGCACTTTGCAGACGCCCAGCAGAGGTGGGGGGCCAGGGTCATTTGTGGAGCAGGGCTCCTGCCCCAGGGGAGGCCCTGGCCCCGAGCACAGCCTCGTGAGCAGCCACCAGGGAGGTGCAGAGGATGGCCATTACTATTTGGTTGTTTAAGATTTTTTCCAAAAAACGAAACAAAATGAAACGAATATCAATGACCAAATTTTTTTTATTTTAACTCACAAATGAACCTTGGAATTTAGGAGTTGCTTCTAAACCCAAGCATTACAGTAGCTGGAACTGCTTCCAGGACTTGTGTGTTCAGAGGTGAGCCTGTGGGTGCCACACACGTATCTGCTGACCTAAAGGCCACCCAAGCTATGTGGTCCAGCCCCGAAGTACACAAACCAGTAACCAAGGGAGCAGGACCGGCAGCCTGTGTTTACTCCTCAGGCAGAAGCGCTCCTGTTTGCAGAGGTGTCACTGTTGGCCCACACGGCCACACCAGGCAGCAGTAACCTGGTCATCAGCCTGTAACACAGCACTCCCCGTATTGTGAGAAAAGAAAGGCTCCCAGACAGGAGCAGACCCAGAAAATTGACTGAACCATGCTTCTCATTTTCCCCCATGATCTGTTTGTGGGTTTTCACAAATAATCTGTTGATGTTATTTTGTTTTGTTTTTTAAATATTTTTTTTTTACTGATTTTAGAGAGGAAGGGAGAGGGAGAAAGAGATAGAAACATCAATGATGAGAGAGAATCATTGATCGGCTGCTTCTTGCACACCCCCTACTGGGAATTGAGCCTGCAATCCAGGCATGTCCCCGGACCAGGAATTGAACCATGACCTCCTGGTTTATAGGCTGATGCTCAACCACTGAGCCACGCCTACCAGACTGTTGTTATTTTTTAATTGGGGACCATAATCATGTGTGCACCTATTCTTAAACCACTGCTAAGGGTAAATTTTAGAAGGGGACAGGCATAGGTGTAGATGAGTCCAAATAAATATAATAGTAAGAAGGCCAGATGATGCAAATTTTGGAGGATGTCTAAGCATTTTGCATAGCTTATGGTTTTCTTAAGAACTCCTAAGACTGATTGACCACATTGCTGCTGCCTTCCCAACAGTTCTGTTTAAGGTCTATTGCATGGACCACACCTACACAACCATCCGGGTGCCGGTGGCTGCCTCGGTGAGGGAAGTCATCAGCGCAGTTGCAGACAAGCTGGGCTCCGGGGAAGGCCTGATCATCGTCAAGATGAGCTCCGGAGGAGGTAACAGTCTCACTTAGTACTTGGAGCTTCAGCGAAACGGGATATCCCATCCAAACAGAAACCCCACCAGGAGTGAGTGTGGCCCTTCCACGTTGATTTAAAGGGACAAGTTGGTGCTGTGTGTCCTGCCGTGAATAACGGAGGTCACATGGTTAGCAGTGAGCTGGGTAACTGCCCACTCTACAGCAGAAAGAGGGAAGTGATCGAGCTGAGGCAGCTGGACTGAGGGCTCTGGGTGGATGTCAGCCTGGAGTTCTTTCCATACAAACCCTAAAGAAAAAATGCTCAAGGTCTTGGAGCTCTGAGAAACATGGGCTCTAAGAGAGCATCTAGCATGACACGCTAAAGTCTGAAGTTGGAGCTGGTCACAGGCTAGTTCTTCTCAGCTGATGATGGTCCCTCTCCTCATGAGGTAGCTCTGGAACCTAGGTCATCAAACCACAGGAGGAGTATTTTCCCCGTGGGATTACTTGATTATTCTCTGCTTTCCTGAAATGTCATTCATCATATATTTGCTGGCCACTCAGTGTGTCTGTGAGTACAGCACGTGTGGCCAGGAGAGCCAGGAGGAAGGAGCAGTAAGATTCCTTATCCAGCAATGATTTGACAGCCATTTGGGGAATCTTTCAGGATTAGGGGAGCCATTTCTGCCACCTTTGAAGACAAATGATGCCTGGTGTAGAATTTTGAAGTGCATGCTGGACTCTCCCAACGTTTCTCCTCCCGCTTCTGTCCCAGTAGCCCAGGGCCCAGGAGGCCTGCCCTCACCCACCCTCTGTGCATTCTTCTCACAGCTGTCCTGGTCGGTCCCTCACTTCCTCAGCTTCACCCAGATGGCAGTGGCTCCCTGAGGACCCCTTCTTTGCTCGATTCCCTTTCTGAAATTGTACCTTTCCCCCTTGCACATGCTGCCTAGCCTCCTCCCTGCTGCATTCCTTGCTTCACTTCTCACTCTCTCATAATACAGGTGTCTTGGTCACTGCCTCCTCACTATGATGTCAGCTCTTTCTGAACTAGGATTTTTTTCTGCATCGTTCCCTTCTGTATCCTCATTGCCTAGAGTAGTGTCCAGCATGTAGTAAATTCTAAATAAACGAATGAACTAATTTTAAAATATAGAAGGCTTAATGCAGGTAAGGCAATTGTCCTCCGAATTTAGAAATAAGTGAAAAATAATAATAAACTTTGCATCTAAAGTCATATGGGGTCTCAGAACCCTCTGCCTACGTTTTCTAAAAGTGATCTTTCCATCTCCAAAGCCTGGGTGTGATTCCCACCCGGAAAGATAACTTGTCATATAAATAGCAAGTATGTCTTTGTATATAATTACAGCTGCAGCACAGAACTGGGTGAGCTGACCCTCGGGTATTTGCAGGCTGCTTTTTGGTCCTTTCTGGTGGCATCCTGAGTGCCGAGTGCCTGTGTGAGTGCTGTGGCCTTTTTATTCAGCGGGCCCCTTCAGCGCTGTATTTTATGCAGTCGCTCTGCGTGTCCCGGTAATTCACCGAGCTGGCAATTTGTTGGTGTGATTAGGGCAGTGCAGCAAATCTCAGATGCATTTAATAGGCAATCTCATGCTTTTTATGTTCACAGAAAAGGTGGTGCTCAAACCTAATGATGTTTCAGTATTTACGACGCTCACCATTAATGGACGCCTGTTTGCTTGCCCGCGAGAGCAATTCGATTCACTGGTAGGTGTGGGTGGCCCCTCGGAGCAGCGTCCGCAATCAGAAAAACTTGTCTGCAGCTTCACTTGGCAGTCATGCTGAACCTAGTTGCTAAAAAAATCTCGAAGGCTACTTGGTGTCTTTCCTTTCCTGCGGTTTATTGGGTGAGCCCCGGGTGTTCATTTGAGATGCCCTGAGCTTTAGGTTTTCCTTTGTGGAATAAGCCAAGTAGCACCACTATCAGGGCATAATTGAGCTTTCAGAACTCTGTAGTAATTAGCCTCCTTGAAATATCCCCAAATTAATTATTAATATTAAAATATGAATAGCTAAAACAGGATAAAAATAATTTTAAGACAAGCTATTCTGATTCATCATACTTTGGCAAAGCCCTCTCCAGTCTATGAAAATTACTGTTCCCCAAAAGTGTCTGCCCCGTGTAGGAAACACCAGGGACCAAATAGTCTTACCCACATCTCCGAGACCTGGTTCCCAGCCACACTGAGCTCTCGGTGAATATGGGATTAGTTGGTCCGTGCTAATAACTGGGGAGCCTACTCTCTCTTATGCAGGTGGTAGGGTGCATTTCTATTTATCCTATAAAAATTAGGCATGGAGGCGAGTAGCTGTTAAAGTACCCTGTGTGTGTGTAGGGGGGAAGGGGGATACCTCACAAAGCCTGGTACAATTCAGAGAATAGAGGACTTGTTTTTCCATCTTTGAACATGCAGGGGCTAGAGGTGAACTGCATTGCATTTGGGGGGAGCATTTAACTACATCACTGCATGAATACCTTCAAGTTTCCAACTAGATATTATAGGTAAATCAAGATTTCCCTCCTTGGACTTTTAGAGCTTGTTTTCCTCATAATTCTGGCGTTCTGGGTTGGGGAGAGCCATTTTGCACACTCTAGCACAGCTCAGCGGATTTTTGCAATATCTTGAATTCACCTGGAGAGGAACTTAGCCACACAGCCTCAGTCCTCTCACTGCTCCCGCCTGGGTCTTGGCGCATGAGCCCCCTTGCCTTTCCTCCACCACCAGCGCTATAGGATCCGAGTCTGCTCACCATCCTCTTCATATGTCTTTTAGTCATCTCCATTCTCTGCTTTCTAAAAAATAAATATTTCCCACTGAGGGACTAGGCAGCAATAATGTTGTCAATGAGTCATGCGGCCCTCGCCTGGAAATGAAAGCCGTCAGAAGCCCGCTCAGTGCCGCCGCTGGGGTGCTGCGGGATGCGTTGGCCACATGACGCTCAGGCCTCTCCTGCCAGCTGGTTCCTGGCCACAGTGCGCAGGGCCGCAGTGTCCAGACGGATCTCGTGGACTGTCTCCAGCTCCCTGTGGGGCAGACACTAACTCGTAAGCCTCTGTTTATTTGCACATCATCCCACAGCCTTACACGTTCTTAGTCCTTGCTCGTCTTCCATTTTAAGGCCTGAGCAATTGAAAGGAATTTACTTTGCAACAAGCACCCGGGACGTGAACTTGTTTAACTTTTTCTGCAAGTGACGTCGTCAGACGAAGGAGTGGTCAGACCTTACCGGCCTCACAAAACCAAAGACGTGCAGCTCCTTCTCCGGCTTTCTACAGATTTCTTTACGGACAGTCCTTCTGGGAACAGGGCTGCACGGGGCCAGTCTGCAGTCCAGAATGCTGGCCAAAGCCTGGGCGCCGCCGGCGTGCACTTAGGAAGTGTCTGTTTTGCGCTCGGTGCTGTGCTCGCTCCTGTGTGGCCCTAGACTGGCATCCCTGTGACAGTTACTATGAGACTAACACAAGCAGACAAGAACAGAACAAATCGTGGTGCTAAATTGTGTTGTCTGGAATTAGCAGAGTGCCAGCAATTTATCCTAGTTGGTTACGGGCATGCATGCTGGAGCTGTAAATGCTCTTGACATGTTGTTGAAGCGTCACTATTAGTACAGAGGCAGTTATTGTAAGATCCCACCGTACTGTGGTTTGGTTCTACCTGGATCCATTCACTGGTTCCTTCGACGTTTATTCAGTGCCTACTATGTCACTCCAGGTATTGTAGGTGGTTGTGGCTCTGGGAACTCACGGCGTAATGAGGGACACCAGCGTGGAATGAGAACTTAGTGCGGCCAGGGAGAACCCAGAGCGAGTCACGCGGTGTGTGGGAGCGCGAGGAGTGAGGGAAGCTGGGATGGCAGCTCACTTTCACCATCTCTTTGTCACTGACAATCAGCACATCCTTTTTATGTCTGAGTTTCCTCATTTGGAAAGTGGGAGGGGAACAGTGCTATCCTCTCAATCGCCACCACCCAGGCCTAACAAAGACACCAGCTCCCAACAAAGAGCAGAGCAGGAGTCTGGGCGTGCTGTGCCTCCGGGCAGGCAGTTTCCGGGTCTGTGTGTGCCGCGCAGACCCTGCAGACGCCCCGCTGTGCCTCCCCTGTGGGAAGTTTCCACAGGGATGCCCACGGGGCAGTGGCCCGAGGAGATGCCATTGGTCAGCAGGTCCATTCCCCACTTACACAGAGGAGCCTGTGGCTGCTCACCTCGGAGTTTCATGGAGGGATGGGGTCAGCCTGTCCTTGACCAAAAAGGGAGGAGGCTCGCTCGGTGAGCCCTGCCCACTGGAAAAAAAAACAGGTAAAGATTTAACAGGGCTTTCTGTTATTCTCTCAAAAGGGATGCAGGAATGATAGACCCGTATCCACAAGTAAAAGAACTTTGCCTATTTCTTTATATTGGCATCTTCCCTGCAGTTGTTCAGTTCATTTGTCCCCTCTATGGGAAGCCCTGGAGCCTCAAGGGCAAGAGACAGGGATGTGGGCCCCCTGAGGAGAGCAGACCCGTGGCATGGAGTGGGAGGGCAGCTCCACAGAGGAGCAGAGGGGCTGTGGTCACAGTTGCAACTGTGAGGGGAAGGGAGAAAATGCAGGGCCAGTCTGAGCCCGAGAGGTGTCCTTAGACCGAGCGTCTAAAAGTTTCCCCAGCTTTCCTACCTAACACCTACCTGCTGAAGCCACCCTCCTTACCTGCTTCCATAAGCTACTTGCCCGTCAGCTTCAGGCTGGCTCCCTAAGTTTCAGAACCTTGACATCATTGTTTGTCTTCCCTGCCCTCTGTCCCTGCACAGAGCAAATCAGGAACAACAGTATTCACCTCTTACATCCAGGTGCACTGATCACCTGGTCCTGCACCTTTGCGGTGCTCCACGCATCTAGGAAGGGGATTGATGGGGGGGGGGGCGGGCGGGATAAGGGGCCTCCCCTGTGCCAGGCACTGTGCTACGTGCTACACTTCAGTTATTCCCATCCAGTCCTCTCAACACACCTGGGTACTAGGCACTGTGATCTCAACTTGCCAGAGCCGGCCACCAACATTTGGGAGGTTAGGGAATCAGTCCAAGTCTGTAATCAGAGTGGGGTTTAGATTTAGAATCTGTTACTCTGTGAAGCTGGCACTAACCTGGCCTATCACAAACCCCAACGCCTCATCCTGTACTCAGAGGCTTTCTAAAAGCTGGCCCTGAGCTCTGTGTTCCTGCCAAGCAAGGCTGATGGCAGCTTCCCCACCTCCGTGCCTCTCTGGCCATCTTTTAAGCTATAGCAGACCATCCCGATGCTCAGGGAAATCCTCGCTGTTCTTCCCCACCCAAAGTTTGTCTGCTTCGTCTTTCAAAGCCCGGCTTCTTTCTCCAAGAGCCTCTTCAGCCCATACTTCATTCCAAATGCCCACTAACTCTCCAAAAGCCCATTCACGTTCTCCCACCTGGTTATCTGTGTATCTGGGAGTCAGGTGTGTGTTGATGCCTCCGTCTGCCCCGAATTCGTGCAAATGAATGCCAGCAGTTGACTCTTTATTGATGTGCAGGGCGGTACTTGCTGGTCAGGGCGCACTCCTCTCTTAGATGCCAACTTTCAAATGCAGGGACCGCCCACATCCTGAATATGTCATTTCTTCAGTGCCCAGAATGCAGTTTATAGAGTGTAACAGTTAGGGGTGATGACAATAATGATGATGGTACAACTTGTACAGTGTTGTACTTCCAGTCTAAATACTGAATATCTATATATGGCATACATGATATGAAGGAAATTCTTGTTCACTTCCTATGACTTGTATAACTTTGTACATATAGAGGGATAGGTATTAATATTTTATACATGTTTCCAATGTATATGAATCATTTATTTTACTAAGGAAAGGACTGCAAATCACTTCTCATAAAGTGAAAGGAAATAAGTAAGTTGGATGGAAAGTTCTGACTGAGGGACTTCCAGAGAGTAGCGGAGTTTGGGTTTCTGAGACCTTGCCCAAGCCACCAGGCCCATGTGAGAACCGTCCTTTGCACAACATCTCCCGGAGAGGGATGCACCGCAGCACACAGAGCCCCGTCACCTGTAACCCAGGCGACGTGCTGTAAGAGATGGAGCTGTGGCAGCTCAACCACAGTCACCAGCCCCGGTAGGGTAGGTAGTAACTAGCCCTGTGGCTAGACGGCCGTGCCTGCTTGGAACAGCTTCCCTGGGAAATAGGAGGGGAAAGCCTGCAGGAACCTCTCACATCGTTACCAGAGAAAAGGCATTGTTTCCAGGGAGCTCCCAGGCCCAGGCAGGAGGGAGCCTCCCCTTCACGCTCTCTAAATCTGACTTGTAATGTCCATGTGTTCCAGCCAGTGAAACTGATCAGAGTGGCGATGAGTAGAGAGAGGGTACCGGAGCAAGTGAGCATGGGGAGTGAAGGCCTCTTTGCCCTCTGGGTAAAAGCAGAGTTTCAAGATATTCCCAAAAGCCTTACCCGAATCCTTCCCCCTCCTTAAAGCAGTCAGCAGTAAGTGCGCGGCTGTTTTGAGATGCTGATATATTTTTGCATGATTATTCATAGACGCCCTTGCCAGAACAGGAAGGCCCAACTGTCGGAACAGTGGGAACTTTTGAACTGATGAGCTCGAAAGATTTAGCATACCAGATGACAATTTATGATTGGGAGCTCTTCAATTGCGTGCATGAGGTAAGCCACTTGATTGAGAGCGTTAGCAGGTACACAGCCATTCCCGCGGCCGCTGCTGGCATCGCTCAGCTGCCGATGCTAATGTGGGCTGCAATGTGGAAACCACATGATCGTTGTTTTAATACTCAGTTTATTAATAAAGCCTGCCATAAAGCCTTTGAGTGTTAAAGAAAAATCTGTATGATTTACAGTAAGCTCTGTGTCCCCGAGTACATGAAGCCAACAGCACCTCGTTGACCGTTAATATATTTCACAAGCCTCTTGGAAGCCCTTTGGGCCCAGGGGACAGATGGAATCCTGGTCAGTGATTACGTCCACATTCGATGACCAGCACTGACTTGTCTTGACAAAGAGAGAAGCCTTGCTGGTGTTTTGATTGAAAAGCAAAGAAGTGACATTGTTTTCCTTTCTCTTCTAGCTGGAGCTAATCTATCACACATTTGGAAGGCATAATTTTAAAAAGACCACAGCAAACTTGGATTTGTTTCTGAGGAGATTTAATGAAATTCAGTTTTGGGTTGTCACCGAGATTTGCCTTTGTTCCCAGCCCAGCAAGCGTGTTCAGCTCTTAAAAAAATTTATTAAAATAGCAGCCCAGTAAGTATCATTAGTGTGGGAAGAGAAAAGTGTTGGGGCTGCGTCTTCATGTTGTCCTCTCGGTCTACACCTTAAAAAGAAAAGCATGATATAGGGTCTCCTTGTGCACCAGGACCAACCACGGGGGCTTAAGAATAATCACCCTCTTGTAAAAGATGAATTGCATCCTGTTTTTGTCATATTTGACATCCTTATGTAAATAAACATCTTACAGCATTGATGCCGGGGCCGAAATCGTGACCCCTTTTTGCTCTGAACTACTCAGACTTTGTGCCTCCTTCCGTGTCGGCAAAGTTCTGTTGTGGAAAGTTCGGTTTCAGGAGGCCCTTGAAGTCGGTGTCCAACATGACGCATTCTCACCAGTAGAGGGCAGTGGGCACACGCACTTCCAACTCAGCCTGAATAAAATTGGTAAAATGCCTAACGGCGAGCTAACCTGGTACATGAAAATCATCTCCATAAACATCAGAAAAAGCAAGCATCTTATAAATATTCTATTTAAGAGCAGTTCATGGGAAACAATTTATTTACTGCAGGGGCCAGTTAGATTTCTCCCTGACCTGAATTTAATCTTCTGCTATTTAGATAGGCCTGACAACCTCCTGTTTACGTGTCCATGTTTTTGGTATCACCACAGTGCTAAAAATAAAATGCTAAATGTGGCCTGTGGCTGGGAGACGTCTTTCCTTTCTGAATGCAGGGAGCTGGGGGTGCAGGAAGGTGGGGTGCACAGTGATCCCAGCCAGGCAATTTTCCCTCTTGTAAAAGATGAATTGCATCTTTTTGAGCCAAGCAGTTTAGATCCCATACAGAGGCTGATTTCCGGGGCTAAACAAAGAAGTCAGTGCTGCTTGACATTGGCTTGCCAACTGCTTCCTTTTTTTTTTTTTTTTGCCAAAAATTTGAAGGTTCCCCAGGATATCCAAATCCCCTGGATTCAAATGCTGGTGTCTCTTAATTGGGAAAAGCTTCCCTTTTGAAGAAAGATGTGGTAAAAGGTTGCTTATGAATTTCTGGTTCAGAGTGTAGCCACTTTCCCTCGGAGCCTGAATAGCCTTGTCGCAAAGGACAAATGCCTTCACGTGTTTGGGAGGAGATGATTATGGAAACTGTGACAATGTATGCCTTCCCAGTGCAAGGAGCACATTCTTCCTTCCCTCAGCCTGGCAGTGCCAAGTGCGGCCAGGGGACGAGAGGCAGTCTGCACGCAAACGCGGGAGACCGGGAAGCCGTGGGGGCCCAGCCCCGTGATTTTACAGGGCGACACAGCAGAGCCTCTCAGAGCTCAGGACTTTTTTAAACCTATTTTTGCCTTTCTTGTCTCTCCTCTTTCTGATTATGTAAATGAGTGGTGGATTGGACCTGTGGTTTTCATTGGTTTATCTTACTTAACCATTATGAATCCGTGCTGTCCTACAGTGGCACTGTTTACACAGCCCTGAGGAGAAGATTGCACACGTTCATCAGCCAAGAGCTGCAGGCTGAGGGCTAAGCCCCGTAGCATCGATATGGTGTCTGGTATTTTTTAGAGAACCCTCAGCATATCCTGTTGAAGCTCTTTGACCCGCCCAGAACTGTGGGAACTAGGGGGTCCAAATGCCATCATCCCCTTTTGCAGGTGAAAAGACTGAGGCATAGAGAAATGTCATGGCTTGCTTAGGGGGGTAGACCAGAGTAGTGACCAGAAGGGCAAGTCTGCATCCTGCCTGCTTTCTTTTAAGACCACATTGACAGGACAAAGGCAGTGTGCACATGATCGTGCTCACTGCCTTCAGCCCTGGCCTGCTCCCTTTTGCACTGATGGGGTCAGATACACTGGAGCATCTCCAAAATGTCTTCCCATTTCCACAGAGACCACCCCTCCTTGCCATCTCTGCAAGAACAGGGGCAGCAAATACTACAAGTTAATTCGCCTTTTACAAAACTGTTACCCAAGCAGGGCACCTCCTCTGGCAGCTGGAGAGAGAACAGGAAATCACAGTGCTGCAGCCACCACGACTTCCAGCTGCCCCACAAACGCTTCTAAGCTATCAAAAAAGGCCAATGTACCTGCCATGATCCCTGTCAACTCAAGGAGTTTTAAAGCTGAGAAAAAAACACCTAAGCAATTGACCAAAACTAATAATAACCTATTTTCTCTGTGTTTTATTGATGTTAATGAAGCTGATCATTTTGAATCTATACTTATGCCACTATTAGCTTTTCTAAATATATATTTGGGAATGAGAATATTGTGGGGCAAGATCAAAGACACTTATTAGCATGGCAATATTTAGCCCAGGTACTTGGATTAATACCCCAACTCCATACCTGCTCCTTGAAAAGGGAAAGAACTCATTTTGCAGTAAGTGCAAACCCTTCCCCCAAATCAATGTGGCTATCTGAGGTGCTTCCCTCGGGTCCCACGAGGCTTTCAGCAAGCTTTGGGGTCATAATAACCATCCCTAGGGCAGGTGTCTTTAAATTCCTTCACAACACCTGGACTTAGCCCAGCCGGAATCGCTCAGTGGTTGAGCGTCGACCTATGAACCAGGATGTCACAGTTGGATTCCCAGTCAGGGCACATGCCCAGTATGGGGCGTGCCAGAGTCAGCCAATCAATGATTCTCTCTCGTCATTGATGTTTCTCTCTCTCTCCCTTCCTCTCTGAAATCAATAAGAGTATATTAAAAACAAAACAAAACCTGGACTTAGCCCAAACCATCACCTTTCTAAAATTACAGTGAGAAACCAAACAGCAGAGCGTGGTCACCCACGTGGAACTTACACAGTGCGTTCAATCTATCATTGCCCGGTCTCATAAAGGAGTCTTGACAAATATGAATGACTATCAGCAAATAAAACTCTAATGTTTTTAGCTCACTCAAAAGTGGCGTTTTACTCAAGCCTGTGCCTCTTGTGTTTCAGCTGCAAGGAGTACAAAAATCTGAATTCCTTTTTTGCCATCGTCATGGGACTAAGTAATGTTGCTGTGAGCCGCTTGGCACTGACGTGGGAGGTAAGCTTCAGCTGAGATCCAGCTGTGACTTTTGCCTGAAGAATAAAAACACAGGCTCACCCGTGAGCTTTCTGTATAGAAATATCACTCACACTCGTGTAACAATGGGGAAGGTGGGACACTTTGAGGGAGGTGACCTATCTCCTTTTTCCAGTTGCCGCAGAGTGTGGACTGAAAAAGGTATTGTCCTGAAGTGTGCGGAGGGGTTCTCAGCTTCTCGGTCTGTATAATGTAAATAAGCCTAAGTCTAGTTCCCAGGTGTCGTGGGAATCAACAACAAAGGTCTTGCTCATCGATCCCATTGTTCTCTGGGATGTCTGCTTATTCCTTTTGCAATAAACCTTATCTATAATTAAGAGAAGACAGAAGATCCTTTTTTCTTTCTTTCTTTCTTTTTCCCCCCTCTAAGTAGTCATTTTGCTTCTGGGAGAATTAGCCAGAAGGCCAACTGTTTGGCCCAGCCGAGTACCAACTGCCCGGCAGACCTGGCTGTGGATGGAGGAACAGCAGTTGGCTAGTAGTCAGTTTGGGGCAAAACTTATGCAAGTGTGTTGTGAACTTCGGCAGCAAATATGATGAGTGGTTTATTGATAGTTGATCATTTATGCTAGAGGACATCTTCATTTTTTTCATTAGCTAAGTCCTCAAAATGTGCCTCGGAGTGTGCATCGCAAAGGTATTGTCCTTTCGTGTACGGAGGAGGTATGTAGTCCAAGAAAGACTAAGCTCCAAGAGAACATGCACACAAAAATAGACGCTTACTAAAAATAAAAAGTCTGTGCAAGTGGGACACAGGAAGAGGGCGAGAAGGAGATAACAGAGACGGGGTTTGCATGGCTGCTCCGGGCAGCTGATGGCATCTCTAAATGTTTCCGTGAAAGCTTTCCTTCCCCGTGTCCCTTTTGACACTGTTTTCTTCAAGGGAAACATGGTTTAGAGGGCAGGTCCTCACACGTCCTTCTGTCTTGGTTTTCTCTTAAAATTCCAGGCAGATGCAGCACACAGCAGCTCATCCCCTGAATATAGGAATGAGGGCATTGGCGAGGCCCACGTGCCTCGCAGCTGTGTCCCCTTCCACCCAGAAGGACAGCCTTAGTGCTGCCAGGGGAGCTGAGTAACGAAGCCACTGCGCAGGCTCCCCTGTCCTGAGCCCAGGGGACTCTCCGGAGACCTAGGGGTTCCCCTCAGATTTCCCCAACCTGTTTCCAGCGTCTGATCACCCCTGCCCCTCGAGTGCAAATGAGTTGGTTGGGATGATCAAAGAAGTATAAAGCCTCCCAGGGGTCCGGGAAGGCCCCGTGTAGATCCTGCACGACAGCAGCCAGACATGAAGGCTGTCGCATGTGGGAAACACTGTTGGAGTCCCCTTTCCTCCTAAAGAGGAAAATGGAGGCTCGTTTGGGGGGGTGGGGTGGGATGCAGTCAGCAAAGGCAGAGAGCTGGCCAGTCCTCCTGTCTCACGGGGAACAGGAAAGCATCCCTCATTCTGTGAGCTTCTCTTCTCATCCTCGCATGTTGCGGAAAAGAGATTAACCTTTCATCGTCTGCAAGCCTTTATTTTTTTTAAGATGAATATAATTATATCACTCCGCAGAAAGACCTTTGATTTGGATTTATCTACCTGGACTTGCCAAGCACTCCCAAGGGCTTCCCTGCAACTGCAGTGAGAACCGGGATGGTGCAGGAGCAGTGTGGGCACTGGCGCCTGACCCCCAACCTCATGAAACTGTCCATGAGCAAAACAGAAAATCAAGTTAAACCACATGGCAAAGGCCGATGTGAGATAAAGCGCATGGCAGTGATAACCTGGAACAGGTCCTTGGCCCCAGCAGTACTGACATTTGGGGCAGGATCATTCTGTGTGTGGGCCGTCCTGTGCATGGTAGGACACTTACCACCATCCCTGGCCTCTGTCTACTGATTACCAGCAGCACTGGCCACCTCACCCCACACCCATGACAACAAAAAATGTCTGCAGACATTACCCAGTATTCCCTGGTGTGTGCACAATTGCCCCGTTGAGCACCCCTGCTCTGGGGTGTAGGTAGATAATAGTATTAAGACCCACAACATTGTTTTATTACCATACGCCTTCCTGCCTTTGACACAAAAGCCAGCTAAGTAGAGAAAGAGAACTAGTGTGAGAGGTCTAAGCAAAACGAATTCATTCCTAATTTTTAAAATGGTCCGTGTTCGTGGAACGTTATCTCCTAGTATGAGGATCTGGATACTTCGTGTGGGATGAGATCTTGATGCCCACCCAGCTTTCATCCCTTTGAACATCCACTCTAGGCAAGGATATCAAGTGTCCCTGAAGCCTAAATGGGAAATAGGTGCCAGGAAAGTGAATTTGGCTTCCTAAAAACAAAATAATATTTTACAGTGACTAAGTGGGACTATTTAAACTGACTCAGATCTGAGGGGGAAAGAAGGAAGTTTTTCTGTGAATAAGTTGATGCGTCACTGTGCAAAGCAGAGCTGAGCTGGGAATCTCTGAGGCCCAGGACGATCAGTGCTCCCAGAGTCGCAGGATGGCAAGCGGGTCACGCTGCTCTCTCTTGGTGTGGCCCAGTCAGAAGGGAAAAGTTCAGCTTTCCTAAAAGCTGGGAACCTAAGCAGAGCCAGACCCATAGACTGAAGACATTTCAGTATCGGCCTACTGCGGTAGATACACAGGCACAGTCAGTGGTGTTGAATCATGTGCCCAAGGATAAGCATCAGAAATTACTAAATTGGTGGAACTGTCCGTTTGTGTGTGACAGCAGGGCTGAGAAATCCTGTGGGGGAAATGCTTGGGTAGGAAAGCGTGGCGCATACAAGAGAGGCCATAGGAAAGGAAGGAAGCAGGTGATGGAATTCCAGAGGCTGTGACCATAACCAGCTGTGTGACGTTGGGCATTTCATTTAAACTGTGGGACTTAATGTCTATAAAACACAGGTCTAATCTAGCCAAATAAATATTTATTGAGCACCCACTGTGTTCCTGACACTTTTTGGTACTAAGGATACAGCAGTAAACAAAACTGGTGAAAATCCCTGTTCTCGTGTAGCTCACATCATAAGGGAGAAGGCTTAAAAAGGGGAGTTTCTCAAATTTTTAATCCTAATATTCTCTGGTCTAAATTCCTAATTGTGGGAATCAGAGAGTTCAATTCCAAAACATCTGTAATCTGGGAATGCAGTTCTCTCAATGAATAGTGCATTTCAGAAAACATTATAAAAGTATGAAGACCAAAGCATCCATAGTTATTTTTGGTTCAACTCCGTGGTCGGCAAACCGTGGCTCGCGAGCCACATGTGGCTCTTTGGCCCCTTGAATGTGGCTCACAAAATACCATGTACTGGCACGCACCACGTACGGGCACGCACTTCGTGGCCCATGCGCAGAGATCGGTATTTTGTGGAAGAGCCGGTATTTTGTGGAAGAGCCACACTCAAGGGGCCAAAGAGCTGCGTGTGGCTCGCGAGCCACAGTTTGCCGAGACGCAGTTTGCCGACCACTGAACTAGGTTAAGACTTTTAAAAGATGAGTTCTCTGTATTCCAGAAGATTATCCTCAAGTGATGGGGCAGATTACGGTCTGGCCTGTCCTAGAGCTGTTTGATTAAGAGCCAAAAGAAATACATTTCCCCCAGAAATGGTAGCACGTGATGCACACCTAGATATCGAATCTGACGTGCGAGTGTGGCATTTTCATTTCATTAACAGAAACTGCCAAGCAAGTTCAAGAAGTTCTATGCGGAGTTTGAAAGTTTAATGGTAAGTGACAGTGGCTCCTTTATTCTTTTCCCTGTCTGCATTAATCCAATGTCTGATTAGCTGAATTGAAGTTCCCATTTCAGAAATTTTATCTGTCCTTGTATGACTTTAAGAAGTTTATGATCCCGTTTTAGTGCTGCTAAAACAAGCATGTCTGACTAATGAATGGCACCCTCAGGAACTAACTTAAAGAGGACTTATGTCCCACATAAGGTCAATTTGTGTAACTAAGAAAAGCAGTATAATAGGATCCCCTCCATCGAGCACAGGTTGGCTGTGGGTTGGAAGTTGCATTTTTCTTGGCTTGCCAAAATTATTTCTCCTCACTGGCTGGGAGGTGTTAACAGGCGGAAAAGGAGCAAGTGGGACTTGGCAGGAGTGGTGGGATGGTTTCGGAAAGGGCAAGTCGGGACTGGCTATGCAGGGCAGAGAGGAGGGCGATCCGAACTCAGGGAAGGAGCAGCGCTCTGGGAGAAGGGATGTTCCTGGTTGGGGTTTGTGTTACACGTTTTATATTTGCCATCAAAGGAGTCCCTCCCCTTGATCCCTATGGGCAGATCTCCCTTTCAAACATGAAAGGAAATAAAAAGCAAATTACTTTCCTGTCACGTAAAGTTGTTTTAAAACACAAATCAATTTGTTTAGCTAAGTCTTACCTTTCTTTTGTAGCCTCGCTTGATCCCAAGCTCCCTGATTGTGGGATGACAAGGCGGGGTGTGTGGGAGGTCAGGGGAGTGGTGCATGTGTCATTAATTGTTCATCAGCCTCTCTGTTTCCCTGAAGGATCCTTCAAGAAACCACAGGGCCTACCGGCTGACAGTCGCGAAGCTGGAGCCTCCTCTCATCCCCTTCATGCCTTTGCTCATCAAAGGTAATTCTAAGCAAATGCACAGGCCACGCCAGCGATGAGTAGATGGGAGAGGAAATGAACAAGAGCCTCATCAGATTGATCTTTTGGGGAAGAGTGATGGCATCCTTCCACCTTCTGCATCTCCTCTCAGTCTTGATTTTTCTGAAAGGGTTGGGAAGATGATTGGAGGATCAGGAATCCACAATTTGGAAGCCTTGATAGTAAAACAGAGGGTTAGTGGGGAAATTTTACTAACCGCAGGTAAAGTGATTTAGAAAGTTAACCACCTAACATAAAAGGAACTATTGTCAGCTTTTTTCGACTGCAGTGTTATGCAAATCCTCCAGCATAATCTAATGGTGCTATTGTGGTTTCTTAGTGTGACATATTTCTGTTAGGGATCAGAATGTGACTTTTATTTCTTTGCAGATATGACATTTACTCATGAGGGGAACAAGACGTTCATTGACAATCTAGTCAACTTTGAAAAAATGGTACGTGCAGTATTATCACCGTAACCGCGGTGTTGTTGTTTTTTTCCAAATGAAATTTGCATTTGCACTAATAAAGGAAATCATTTTCATATATGCTGCCATGTTCAAAAGGGAGTTACACATAAAAGAGTTTCGAAATCCTTGGTTCAAATTGGCTGCTAGTTTACTCTGTCAGTCTCTTTTGTGAGGTTGAATAGTGTTTGTGCCGTGGCTCACAGCAGCGGCAGCTTTTACGCCGGTGCTTGGTCCTGGGCTGCCTGCTGCTAAAATGCAGAACGCTCCAGAGTGACTCCCGCAGTGTTGTTTTGCTGTAAGGTTTGTGGCACTTGCCTGCCCCAGGATGCCTTTGAAATGTTTACCTGCCGAACCTGACTTTAGTGCATGTGGTAAAAGGCAACTCTATAGACGATCTTTATTAGGGACTATTCATCTGAATGTGTATTGTTTATTCCAATAAAGTTCACTGAAGTTCAGAGAGGGAGCTTGAAAATCTTCATATCCAAACCCAAAATTTTTATAAAGAACACATGTGGAACTGGCACATAATCAGTCTTTTTCAATCTTACTCCCTCTCCCCCACCCCCAAATAGACTGTGTTTGCTGGCATTAGTTACTTTGCAGTTTATTTTCTTATCATAAAGCAGGTCATGCCAAAACTTTTATTTAGCTGTATCGTGCCTATTAATGGAATGCTCCATTGTCTTCTGAATCCTTTGGCTGCAGCCTGGATAGACGAGGTGTTAGTGTTGCATCTGTGGGTGAACATCTGCCCGGGGCCATGGTTTGCAGTGATGAATGTGGTTCTTGCAGAAGCTAAGGGCTTGGAGTTTGGGACACATGAGGTTCCATTCTCAGCCTCATCACTTTGCAGGTACCCCTTCTCTGCCTGTCAGTCTCCCCAGTAGAAAATGGAGATCGTGCCTACTCCATCTATCCCTGGAGAGTGTGGGTGGGACCAGAGTATATAAGTATTCCTGCAAGCAATAGAGTGCGATAGAAGTCTTACCAGAAAACGGTTCTTCTATTTGTTTCTTGAAACCCAGCTCGCCTGAAGGCTCCAGGAGAATTTGAAACACCCTGCAGTCATCTTATGAGGCTCACACCATTCAACTTTGGGAATGAGCTTATTGCAATGCCCAGTCTGAAAAGTAGCACAGCAATTGCTGGGCACTAGGTTCCCATGTCTTAAGCTTCTTAAGAAATAGCACGAGTTCACACTCTTCAAAGACACTCTATCCCAGAGGGCAAATATTTTCTCAGCAGTCGTCCCCTCACCCCTCGCTCCAAGGGCAGGGTATGGACATCTCTATTACTGTGTCAGTTTAGTAATTCTTTGGTCAAAGTAAAAAACAAACAAAAAAAATTCTTTGCTTACTTATTGTATGGAGAATTAAACATATTTCCCCAAAGAAAACCTGTTTTCCAGAAATGAGAGATTTAGCAAATAGTTAAAGAACCTTCCGGGTGACTTATGCAGAAATGCAGACCGAGCAGTGGCTAAGCCAACCATTTGACTATAAAATATACATGTGCGCCCTAACCGGGTTTGGCTCAGTGAATAGAGCGTCGGCCTGCAGACTCAAGGGTCCCAGGTTCAATTCCGGTCAAGGGCATGTACCTTGGTTGCAGGCACATTCCCAGTAGGGGGTGTGCAGAAGGCAGCTGATCGACGTTTCTCTCTCATCAATGTTTCTAACTCTCTATCCCTCTCCCTTCCTCTCTGTAAAGAAATCAATAAAATATATTATACACACACACACACACACACACACACACACACACACATACATACATAGGCATAGAAGTTGGGGTTTCCTAAAAGAGTTGATTGAACTTTTTAGAACTTTTGATCATTAAAGTTAACTAAACAGAACAAACAAGAACAGCTAAAATATCCACAAGGGGGATGAAGTTGTTTCATCTGGGTTTTTAGATGTGCCCATAACCTGCAAAGGCAAGGTCAAGATTGCATTCAGTGGACATTAAGGGAGATCCCCTCCCCCATTTCTGCACTTCGTGCTCGTAGCAGTGGATTCTTAGATGCCTAGCAGTTGAGGAGAGAGGTCCTTTACCCTCTGCTCCAGGAAGAGTCCACTTTTTAAAAATATATATTTTTTTATTGATTTCAGAGGAAGGGAGAGGAAAAGAGAAACATCAATGATGAGAGAAAATCATTGATCGGCTGCCTTCTGCACGCCCCCCACTGGGGATCGAGCCCACAACCTGGGCATGTGCCCTGACCGGAAATTGATGCTCAACCACTGAGCCATGCCGGTCATGCAGGAAGAGTCCACTTTTGCTTAAAAGCTACTGAATGGCTACAATAGCAGTTCAGCTGCAATAACAGAAACCTAAATTAACAATGGCTTAAGCCAGGTATGTGTATTTCTATCTCACATTAAAGTCCACGCCAGTATGGTAGCTCTATACCAGGAGGCAGCCACAGTTCCAGAATTCTCTCTTCATTTCACCTTCCACATGGTCCAAGGGGGTGACCGCCAGGACCCCATTCCAGTGAGGGAAGAGGAAATGGAAAAGGCAGAAACATGCTTCTTCCCCGCAAGGCTAAGACCTGGAGTTGTACTCGCCACTCGACTCACACTTTACTGGTCAGAAATTTAGTCCCATGAAAGGGAAGGTAGGACATGTAGCCCTTATTTGGGGTATCCATGTGCCCCAATAAAAATTAGGGGGTTTTATTACTATGAGAGAGATGGGGAGGAAGGATACAGAAAGAGTACTGTGTGTTCTCCTGCAACTATAACATTTATTTCATTTGATAAATCATGACTGTTTACTTTTACAGTTGCCCTTCCATGGGTTAGTTGTTACTGGAAAATGATAGAATTTGAAAAGGTTTGATTATGGTTTTTAAACCTGGCTTTGACCAGCCTGGTACTTGTTGTATTTTATTTTTGTATTGTGGGAGAAGGGAATAATTAAAACTGTCCAACTCCTTCTCTCCATAGCCCCGACACCCCCACAACCCCCATGCCATAGTCACCGCTACGTACAACTCCCACTAGTGGCGCTGTTATTCCTGTGTGTCTTAGGGAAGGATACAGCTCCCTGTTCAGGTTGGTGAGCATGCTGCTTCCCAGTCAGTCACCAGCAAGGCCAAGGTCCTGCGCAGAGCTGGCAGCCTTTGTGGGGCTGGTCGGCTAAATCCCCAAAAGGAGCCCCTGCCAGGGGTCGAAGTCACCAGGGGAGCCAGGAACACAGATGCCTTCTCGTGGTGGCAGCATGGCAGGCGCAGCAAACTGCCGTGCCAACCCTAAGTATTTTTATTTTGAACCTCTTCACCCTTGAGGTATGAAGTGAGGATTAGAGAATTTGTTGCATATTGGTTTTCAGGATTTATGAGTATGAACAAAAGAGAATTCACACTCTGATCCTTATGCAAAAATAAAAATAAAAAAAGGCAGACATTCTTTCATTCGGGGGGAACATAAAGGAGTATTCAAAAAAATGTTTGAATAAAGCCCTTTGTAGCTTTCTGTGGCATGCATGAATATTTATAGCATTTAGGAGGTAGACGAGCAATGGATTAGAGGATAATGTGCTGGCCGGCTGCCACTATCCCAGGCTGCATAAAGCATGCTGATAGCCACAGTTGCTACTGTATTAGGAGGTTGGTTCTATTTCAGATGTACCCATATTTAGGTGTATTTATTTATGAATGTTATTTTAAGGTAGTCATTTTATTTGGAATGAGAGGCATAGGGCAAACTTCTGTACTTCTGGAAACATTAACAGAAGCTAATTCATGAAGGAAGAGAAATGTTTTGAATCCTTTTATTTTTGTATTGTGGGAGAAGGGAAAATTACCCCTTCCCGTCTTGATGCTTATGGCTGGTGGAATAATTAAAATGACATAAGGCAGATTAACAAGAGAAAATCGAATTTAATATATACATATGGGGAATTCATATAAGCCTGAAGAATTCCAAAGACAGTAAAGCAAAATGAGGTATATATCATCCTGGACTAAGGAGAGGGAGGTAAGGATCTGGGATTTCAAAGGGAAATAAGCAATTCACAGGGAGGTGACAAGAGTTAATGTCTAGTAAACACATGTTTGCTGGGACATCTAGAGACAGTGGGACAGAGAGGACTTTGATCAAATGGACCTTGTGAGGTTCCTCCCTGTCTATCACGCCTCGTTCAGATTCAACTGTACAGTTGATGCTTGAACAACATGGGTTTGATCTGCGCTGATCCACTTATATGTGGATGTTTTGTCAATAAACATACAGTCTGCCCTTCATATCCCCAGGTTTCCATCAACAGATTCAACAAACCATGGGTTAAGAAAGTATTTTTGATCCCCAGTTGGGAATCTGTGGATGTAGAGGGTCAACGGTATACATTGTCCTACATCATTTTATATAAGGGACTTGAGCATCCTCGGATTTTGGTATCAGTGAGGGTCCTGGAACCAAACCCTGTGGATACTGCTGGATGACTATAGTTTAGTTTTGGGGGAGTCAAAAGTTATACCCAGATTTTCAACTGCACAGGGGTCAACATCACTAACCCCTACGTGTTCAAGGGTCAACTATTGTTAACTCTGGTGATAGCTTCTTCCTGGAACAGGCTTTCCATCTTAAATTCTTTCAAGCAGTTAGAGAGAAGGTCAGAGGTTCTTCCCGAGCCTTCTGGGCCTTAAAAATAACCAGCGTAAGCCTGGCTGGTTTTTGTCAGTGGTTGAGCATTGACCCATGAACCACAAGGTCACTGGTTTGATTCCCAGTCAGGGCACATGCCTGGGTTTCGGGCTTTATTCCCAATAGGGGGGTGCAGGAGGCAGCCTATGGATGATTCTCATCATTGATGTTTCTCTCTATATATCCCTCTTACTTCCTCTCTCTCTAAAGACCAGTGAAAACATATTTTTAAAAAATAACCAGCTTAAAATAATTAACATACTAAAGAATCATATTTTTGGGTGGCAAACTCTGTTCTCCTTCATGCCATTATGTAATTAGCAGCAATATGTT